TAAGGTCATCCTGTTCATTTGTTAGTGTGTAGGTGGGTCTTGCAGTTTTTTTAAGCCTCTCTCCAACTGATTTTGTCAGGTAAAATAACAACAAAAGCATTTATTTAGTTATTTTTCTCCTTTCTTTATTTATTAACATTTTATATATGTTATATTCCTAATTTTGCACATATATATATATATATATAAAGATCTCTCCGTCCGAGGGAACAGCAATAATCTGGCACTGATGACTGGATGCAAGCGCCTTAAATAGAGGCAGGAGCAGGTGGATCAGATGAGCAATGATTAGAAACCGGGCAGAATTGGACAGGTGAATGGATTGAGTTATTAAGCCACTTATCAGCGCCAAAATCATGACGATAGGGTGCTGATCCACTGCCTTTGCTACATCCTTGATTTTACACCAACTGTTATTTTATCTGTCCATCTTATTAGGGCGACCATGGTGGTTTTCATACTCTGAGTTAGATTGAAGCACTGCAGAGGACGAGGGAAGCTCACTTAGATGAAGTATTTATTTTTGCTCGCTTGTCAAAAAAATAAAAAATCTATGAAAATCTACATCCATCATTAGGGCTGTATGACATGGAGCTGATTTTCATTTCCTTTTAATCCAGTTTTTCTTAGCAGTCATGAGAACTATACAGGGACCTTAAAAAGAGCAAGAAATGCTAAGTGCTCTATTCGGTCTGGTGTGTAAGCTGGGGGAAAGTGGTCTATAAATAAGTCTAATTGAGAGTTGGAGCCAAAACGAGTCTGAAAATAACTCCTCGCTTTCAGACTCGCTAATAGATCTTTTGGTTCTTAGATAACAGTAATCCTGTTACACATAGTTCCCAAACTGAAGCAGCATATCTTGAGTGGAAAATATGCCCTCTTCGCTTAGATCACAACCCACACACTCATCCCCTGAAGCCTTTAAGCTGCGTGAAGTCAGCTCAAGTCTTAAGTTCAACTTTCAGATGCAGATTTGGAAGAAAATCTATTGAGGGGGGCTTGAAAATTGGCCTTATGCTGATAAGTTGTGAATCATCACAAAGTCGATTGTTGCCATGTTGAAGGACAGGTTTTAGGCTGTTGGGGAGTAAAGCTTGGAACAGGCTTTGTAATGTTTAGCTTCTTCTCCTCCTGCTCCTCTTCCTCCACCCCCTTTGAGGTTTTTGATCAGCTCCAGCGCTGGCCTGCCGGCTGATTATAAAAACTAATGTTCCAATTAACTGCTGCATGTTTTGGGCTTTGAGTTTGTGGAGGTTAGATGTTATAGCAAATAGTTGTTTGACAGAACATGCTTCGCACCTCCCTCAGTGAAACACACAAGCACGCTTAGTGACATTAGCCATTACCACACCCCCCCTGTCTCTGGCAGTCCTGTTCCCCTCCAGAGTGGACAGAAGCGGCCTGGCATTTAGCCTGTCCTTTGATGGCCCGATCCAAACAACCGTATTATCCAGCCATGAAAACAAATAGGAGGCCAGAAACTTTCTGGAAATGTTAATGACATAAAGTCCCTGGCTGTTTAGTCCACTGCACCATTTTAGACGGTTGAAGGGGAATTCTGCCATCTAGTGTCCCCCTCTGATCCGTCTCTCCTGCCTCGACTCTCTTTCATCTTTCCCTCTCCTTTCCCCCTCAGTTGTCTTGTCGATCCATTTGCTTTCCCCCGCTTCTCTTGGCCGGGGTAAATTAACTGAGGTAGAGTCGAGTAACGTGTTACGGCCTATTCACTCCCGAAGAGTTTTTTTTTTGTTTGATGTTTAGTTTATTCTAGTTAGAGCAAACAGATTACTCCTGGAGCTGCTTCTAATACTTTCTCAATCACATTCATTCTTTTTAGTTTGCTCCTTTCTCTATTTCTCCCACCCACCTGTCTCTCATCATCACCCCCATCCATCACTCCCTTCCCTGCATTTCCTTCCCATCATCCCTTAGCTTCTTGCTGCAGTCTGATCGGTTTGCTGCAGAATGGATAATTCGCCCATCTGCAGTGGTAGGAATCTCTGCAGATGAGTGGTTTTGTAACTGATGGAAACTGTCTGGGCCCTTCACGCTCGTCTTCTTCCCTTCTTCTGACTGTTTTCGGTTACTTATCTCCAATCCTCCAAACTTCTCTCCTAGGGTGCCATGTCTCCCCTCTCACCGCCTGGTGCGACATCAGACAATCTGTCAGTGCTGCAGTTGTCAGTTTGAGGGGAAGAGATGGACACGCCATTTGACTCCTTAAGCATTAGGAATTACACAGAGTCTGTGTCCTTATCTGTTTAAGATCATCTACTATATGTAGTGATTCATTCTTTCATTTTAATGATGACTACCACATAGTAAGAAACAAGTTTAAAACAACTTACCCACCAAGTCATTATTGTGTTTGGTTGAATTTCAGTGAGATTGAAATAAATTATAGAAACTCATCAGCTACTGAGTCTCTCCTCTGTGTCTCTCTCCTCTTTCCTCTCCTTTCAGGATTTTGGACAAGGAAGGAATAGCAAACACAAGGATTTTATTAAAAAAGTCATCTGAATGTGTTTATCGGGGAATAATCAATTTAGATTTTTGTGGGTTGAAAACAGTTAATTATGTTCCTTAAAACTAAAAAGTTGTCTTAGAATATGTAAAAGATGGACAGACCTGCTATGAGCTGCTGGCTATGGCAATTATTAACAGGAGCTAATGATTGTTTATTTTAACTGAATGACAAGCAATTTTCCTTTTTTTGTCATAATTACGTCTGTGAAAAGTGTTGGTTTAATGAGGGCTGCCCTGATCCGATAATGACATTGGAAATTGATCCATATCAGACAAAAAATGAGTATCAGAATATATCAGCCTACCTTCTAAAATCTCATTGAAACACTTTGCTTCTAGCTGATTGTTTGAATGTATGTAACTCTTTGCTGAATAAGAAATGAGTCATGTTTTCTTTGGTATTGGAAATGGTACTGGAAATATGAAATAAGCAATAAAAGTATGAATGGTTCTTGCTGATATTGCATCGGGTTAATATGGGTATCGGTACTGCAATCTTGGTATCGTATCGGAAATTAAAACTTTTAGAGTGACACTCCAAGCTTTAATGTTCTTTTTTTTCTTTAGTGCCTTAAAATAACTTTTCTGAAATTATGCAATAAAAGATGCTCTTTTGTTGTCTTGTTGCTGATCAGGCAAAATGCCTCATGCAATGTTGCTGTTCACTATGTTGCTGTTTAAAACTGTCCTGCCTTTGTTGAAGCTTTACTTACACTGGCTTACATTCCCACGGAGAAATCTTGAATTTAAAGTCAAATAAGTTGCTATTTCAGTCAATTACATATCATTTTCCTATTTCTAATCCTCCTTTGCATCACCCATGTACAGCTTTGAAATGGAAGGACCCTTTAGACCAAATTTTCAAAGCCATCTACACTGTAGAATTTTTCAGTAACAGTGGGGATGTGGCAGCCCTGATCTGAAGAGTGAAAATGTTTTGATGAGGCTACTAATAGTGAGTTTAGGCTAATAACAGATATATTGCGAATTTATACTTTTAGTTATGAGAAGAAAAAAACCCAGTAGCTGCAAAACGTATAACATTCAGACAGAACTGTATCTTTGAGATTGTTTTTAAGCATATTGTGCATTTTGTGCAAGTTATGATCATTTTGCCTTTCATTAAAAGTAACAGTTAGTTTATAAATTTTTTGCTATCAGCCTATAGGGGGAGACAACAGTCAGCTGTTTAAAACTTGTTTTTGTTTTAAGGTGGCGCTGCTTCTGTTTTGTACAGTTTTTGTACCATCTTTAGTTTTCTTTGCCAGAAATACAGTAAAAAACATAAAGGCTGATTTCTTATAACCCAAGTAGTTATAAGAAATTATAACCCAAGTGGTTATAAGAAATCAATAACCTAAGATTTTAATGGTTTTCTTTCAGCGAGCCGATCTAAAGTTTACAGCAACAGGTCCAAGGCTTTATCTCCTGCTCTTGACTACAGAAGTTTGACACATGGAAGCATGTAGTGTGTCTGAGGGAGGGGATTGTTTTCCCCCAAACATGGGGCTATAATGTAATTAGCATGTAACATCCAACTGCATTAGTCACCTTCCTACCATTGTGACCCAAAAAACATTGACATTGTTTTATGGTTTAAGGGACATTTAGCGGTGAGGAAACTAAGAGCTGCTGAAACAAAGATTAACGCAGGAGAGTGTATTTCTTACTGGGATTGGCTAAACCCAAACTTTGGTAGGCGGGCACTAGCTGTCGTTTCATCCAATCAGCTGCAAAGGTTTTGCTTAATGTCCCTCCTTTCCCTGAATGGATTTGACAGAAGTAGTCCAAGATTAATCGTGTTTCTTAATAAAAATAAAAACTATACCTGAGTGGTTTCCAGGTTAAGTTTCTTCTCTACCAAGTTGTTCCGTTTTTTTCTTTAATACAGGCTAAAACCCTTGACCTTGATTTACTTGCATCAGCCCTCTGTGAGCAGGCTCGGTTAGATCATTGACTTTTTAATGGAGCGGTCGGGCAGGAGGTTGTGTGTAATGAATGGCTCAGCTTCACAGCGTTTGTAGTTAGCAGCCGATGATGAGCTGAGCCCAGCTAAAGTATTAACCTCTGAGGTTCACGGTGCTGACGTGCATCGATTACACTAACATTAGAACAAAGGACGATTTTCTTTGTCTTGATTTATAAAACAAGCTGATCTTCTTCAAATGAAATCAAAGTTTTACTGTATAAATATAGAAGAGCTGCTTTCAGTCTGGAGTCTGATTTGTCAGGAGATTGCTGCGTGTCTGACCTCCGAATCAAAGGCTTATGGGAAAGGAAAGACACATTTACCCTCAGAGATCAATATAGACCCCACTGTGATGTAAACTCACCTTCATGAACCAACTTTGCTGTTATAGAGCATAGTGTGCTGTTCAACACATGCATGCACAGTATTCTGCAGAATATGTTCATGCTAATGTGTTAAAGAGGAAATAATTGATTCAATGTGTCTTAATCTCTTTTTCCACCAGTTCTTCCCTTACGGCGATGCATCTAAGTTTGCCCAACATGCCTTCAGGACCTTCGACAAGAACGGTGACGGCACCATCGACTTCAGAGAGTTCATCTGCGCCTTGTCCATCACATCACGGGGCAGCTTCGAGCAGAAGCTCAACTGGGCCTTCAACATGTATGACCTGGACGGAGACGGCAAAATAACGCGGGTGGAGATGCTGGAGATCATTGAGGTATCCGTGCTAAATCTATTGCAGAACAGAAAGTATTGTTTATTGATTTTTTCTTAAACATAAAACCCTTTTTAAATCAGTGGCGGTGCGATGGAGGAAACTGAACCAGAAAACTGAACATCCACATCCTGTTTATGCACTGGGAACGTCAGCCTGCAGCTCACTGCTACAGGAAGTTAAAAGCAATAAGCAGTGATGCTTAAAAAGAGGCAAAGACCCAAAGGAAATCTTTTATCAGATTCTGTTCATATTGATTGTTTTCTTTGATGAGGATGTTTTGATCATCTAGCTTTATGAGACATAAACTCCCGAGGAGGCTATCAGTGGATTGCTGATCAGATCCATACTGTGTGGACATGTGTTGTTGCAAGAAGATATCAACTATTCTCCACAGGCATTTCCAAATAGAGCCTTTCATCGACCACATGATGGCGCTCCATTTCTGAGATTGGAAACAGAGCCAAAAATATCTGTTTGTGAAAAATGGTGGAATTCGAATTCATGGGCTGCATCATCCAAGGACTCGGTCCATCTGGACTGGATCCTTTAAAGTTTGTGAAAATAAGAAGACCAGAAGAGTAAATTCTGAACAAAGACTTCACTCATGAGAATAAAGAGTGGAATAAAGGTGACAACCACTGGGAGCGTGAACAAATAAAAGCCAGTGTAATAATATGAAAGGGGTAGAAAGATATGAGTAAATTTAAACAATGCATGTATAAAAATATATATCTGCAAAATCTCTTATATTCAACAACAAAAAATACTTAGTTAAGCAAATTATGCAAAATAGCAAATGAAAAATAAAACTTCTATCAGATGTATAGTCCCCACACTGCAGATATAGTAGAATCTGTCCTTAAATTACAGCCAAACCCATTTACACAGATAAAAACCTTTAGATAAATCAAACATTACCCGCCACATATCTGACTTAATAACCATTAAAAAAATAATTTTCATTAATTTAAGACAGAACTATTCACATACTTGTATTATATTAAACTGAACTTCCAATATTCACCACTGTTTGGCGCCAAGTACCATTTTTCTTCTGATCACAGAGCAAATCACGGCTTGCTTTGCCTCGCAATGAATCCTGGGATACCCAAGGCTAGATAGGATACACCGGACCTGTCCTTTAAATCAGGTAAAAAGAAAGACACATTTGTAGGCCGCATAATTAAGAGTCTTGGAATCCGTCCAGATCTCAGCGCAGCGCTATGACGTAATCGGCCTACGAATCTGGCCTTCTGAGGACGCACCCCATGAATTCAAATTCAGCCTTAATGACTCCAGCTTGTTCTTTCATGTCCAGAATAAAGTGACTCCTTCAACAAGGAGGGCAGAAGGGCAAAGCTAAAGATATAGCAATATTTATAGAAAGTTGAATGGAAGCATAAAGGAAAAATCAATCCTAAATAATTTATTTAAATCTATTTTATGAAATATTTCTTCAGACATTTAGTTTTGGATTATGACCTGTAAGACAAAATTATCAAAATTAAAAGAAATAAAGGCTTGGAATATTTACTATGTTTAATGAATCCATCCAATACATAATGTTTCAATTTTTGAAGAAATAAAACAAAAAAATACATTTAATTTTTCCACGAAACTTAAATTGTTTTGAATGTATCTGCAGCATTATTATTATTTTTCAGCATTTCATTAAGTCTGGCACAAACACAGGATTTTCTAGAGACTAAGCCTTGAACCATCTACAATCATCAATTTTCTATCACACGTTATCCCAGCTGTGGTCGTGAGGGCTGCTGGTGCCTATAATCCAGCTGTTTACGGGCGAGAGGTGGGGAACACCCTGGACAGGTCGTCAGTCTATCGCAGGGCAAACAACACAGTCACACTTAAGTAGAATTTAGAGAGCCTCCCACAGTCATGTTTTTGGACTGTGGGAGGAAGCTGGAGTACCTGGAGAGAACCCACGCATGCTCAGGGAGAACATGCAAACTCCATGCAGAAAGAAGACGCCAGGCCGAGAATCGAACCTAGAACCTTCTTGCTGCAAGCAGCAGTGCTACCCACTGCCTCACCGAGCAGCCCTCTGCACCCAGCAAATTAAAAAATAAAATTAATATATTTTGGTGCTTGTTGGTCCAGCTTTATTACTATTTTTTTCCTGTGTGTTTCCTCCTGATAGGCAATCTACAAGATGGTTGGCACGGTGATCATGATGAAAATGAACGAGGACGGCCTGACGCCCGAGCAGAGGGTGGACAAGATCTTCTCCAAGATGGATAAGAACAACGACGACCAGATCACGCTGGAGGAGTTCAAAGAGGCGGCCAAGAGCGACCCGTCCATCGTATTACTGCTGCAGTGCGACCTCCAGAAATAGGCCGGGACGCAGCAGAGAGCGCTCCACCAGCCGCCACGGACTGCACAGAAAGAATTTCATGTTCCATTCAGTTTGCAGCTATTTCCACTGAAAAAAAAGATAATAATAATATATGCTTGGACTACCTTTCAATGGATCTGCTTCTTGTGTTTGAAACACTCGTGTGCATGAGAATGTTATTTGCTATAAAAACATCTACACACGGTATTCAGCAGTGTGCGGGGGGGCACACTCAACGCCACACATCCAACACCTGCAAACACACACAACTCTACATATAAACAACTTACACAATCAATACATATATATGAAGAAATATAAATATGAAGATATATATATTAAAATTATTTATAGACCAACTGCCAAAATGTGAAGTGTGCAAAGTACTTTCCTTTCAGTTTACCTCTACTGAAGCTTGCGCATCAGTGATGTGCTAACGTTAAACTTGCCGCTACTCTATTTATTGTTCCGATGCTAGCTGTGTGTGTTTTCACGATACCGTCAAAGCGAACCAAATTCCTACAACCATGTACCGTCCTTCGTAAAAAAACTCCACCCGTCTTTTCTTATATTAGCTCTAAGCGGGGTGGATTAGCGTCCGCTCCACTTCTCCCGCAGAAACGAGCCTGTTCTGTCCGTAAATACGATGTTATTCATTTGCATGCCTTTAGGTTCTGCCTTAAAAGTCTCGTTTCCTTTCGGTGATTGAAGACAGAAAGCCTTACAACGCAGTGACTCTGGAGGGAAAGCGTTTTCTCTGAGCGGAGGGAAGATGAAGCAGCCTTATACGGGGCTGTGAGCTTTGCGATGGGTTGAGACGCTTTCCTTGGATTGCTTTACCTGTGGGAGCATGTTTCTGTGTAGATTAGCTGTGCTGTATGTTGAACTGAATCCCCCGCCCGACGCATTTCAAACGCGCTATTTCATTTCTAGTTGGCTGAAGCAGTGATGAAGACAGCGCCATTTTGGAAGAACCATAAAGAGTGCTACATTTGCAGATCTTTGAGGCAAACTCCATGAAAGAAAGTGATTTTAAATGGATGAGCTGAAGATAAATAGGGAAAAACACAGTAATTCATAAAGAGCATTTTTTTTATCAGGATTTTCATTATGGTTGCATATCTTTGAAATAAATTTGGAGTGTTTGAGTGTGGAAGTTACCCAGAGATGAGGTTTCTGTGATGAGATTAGCAGTAGGTGTCATTCCATCACATGCTGTTAGCCCTTAAGGTAAAACCTGGCATTTAGTAGGTTTATACAATTTGCCCTCCTCAGTCCCTCCATGTTTCTTTTACCAGTCAGTCCGATTTTTGTACGTTTTGTTTTACTCCCTTTAGTTTCACTTTTCACAAAATAAAAAAACTTAATTGATGTTGTACCGCCTAAAAAAGATGTGAATATCTGCCCTCCAATGTATTCCACACTTTAATTCTAGGGTCAACAGAAGAATGAAAGAGATTTGGCGAAAAGTGCAGCAAAAATTTTAAAAAAGTTGGTCCAGCGTCATTTCAGCAGTTGGGATTATCTCCTGTAAAATGACCACTCTAAAACTTTACATTAACACCTTCGGCTTCATGATTCTAACCACAACCCTGTGTCTGCTGTAATGATACCAAACGGGAGAAATGTCAAAAGTGTAAAAAGATTTTTTGTAACATGTATTGTGTCCCTGACGACATGGCTGCACTACTCCCTGTGTTGTGATTTACTCTAATAAAATAAACTCTATGGGCTCCTGTCTGCTCTGATGACTCAACAAACCATTTTATCCAACGTCCAGGGTTCATATGCAGTTCTGGAAAAGCCTAGAAAATTTTTAGGTTTTCCATATTTGTTCCATTTACCATTTTCTAAATAACAAAGCCTTGATAACGCTCAATATGCAGTAGTTTTCACTTGGATTTATTCATTTGGTCTGCATGATCTTTGATTCGTCACATCTTTAACACTTTACCCTCAGTATTTACCTGTTGAATTAAGAGCCATGCTATGAATAACACTAAACTCTTAACATTAAAAAGTGAAAATCTGAAAAAAGAAAATCAGTGATCTGTTGGTGCAAATGTTTTTAAGATTTACAGGTAGAGGTATCAAAACAATATATGTAGAAAATCATTTCTAAGAGCGGATGTACCGTTGACCCAAAATCAGCTTCTCTGAGCGTGTTCTCATTCGCTCATGGAGATCACCATGGCGACTGCATCACAACCGACCAGATCAGGCAGATCGTTAAATGACCCACTAACCATATGCTATATGCTGAATCTTTTGACCGCCTGGGTTTATACAGAGGACAATATCTAAATGAGATTATATGAAGAGTGGAACAATATGGAGACAGTACTTTTAGAAATGGTAGCATTTATTTTACAGAACAATTTGACTTTACATGAGAGGTTCATTTCCAGGATGCTTCTTCCCAGAATAAGGACTGAGATAAGCAGAACTTTCTGCCAAACAGAATGGATCAAAACAAAAAAGGTTTACATCACAAAAGTCTTTGAAGAGTTTGGCCTGTTTTCTCGGACTTCAACTTAAGGACGGCCAATTTTGGCTGACTCATATACTTAGCAAAACAGAAAAAAATAAAAATAAAAAAAGCATAAAATGTCATCATAAACAACTATCAATTATTTAATCAAAACCATAAACGACTCCAAAGATGTTTTTTTTGTGTGTTTTTTTTTTTACAAATAGAGAGTTTAAAGATAAAAACCTGACCTAAACTACTTTGGGGGGTCTGTGTTGATCCCATATTTCTCTTTCAAAAGCTTCAGCTGCTCCTCTTTCTTCTTTGTGTCCATCTTCTGGAAGGCCTGCAAAACAACAATACAGAAAGTAAAGTTTAATGCAGCAGATTATTTTATTCTTGTTTCAATCAAACACATGCCTTCGTTTGGGAAACAGACGTTCAGAGTTTGTGCGTTCTGAGCTGCGAATACGTACTCTGTTTGCATTGTAGTAAAGCACCACCAGGTAACGATTGCAGACGTTGAAGCCTGACAGGTGGTCACAGGCATTTTTGGCGTCAAAGATATCTTCATACACAACATAAGCTGTTCCTCTGGTTTCAGGTGTGTTCCCTCTGACAAGAAAAAAAACAGAAAAGACAAGCGGTGAATAGCAGATCGATCAACGCAGGTTCACTATTGTCTAAAGCTAAGTTTTGATTATTATTTAAAAGCAAAGAACATCAAGCTCTAAACAACTGACATTATATGTGTAATAAGTACACAGATAGATCTTTAAATACATTATTTTATTCCCAACTTAAATGTCTCAGAAAACCATTTAATCTTTCCACACAAGTCATTTCCATACATTCTCAGAAATCCAACATGGCGCTTGAATTCGTTAATCGAATCGGAGCTTAGCAGTCATCCTATCTAAACTACCCGACATTTAGGGATATTTTCAAGCTGAACTTACGTTCGGATCTGTCGTATTGGTCCATATTTCCCAAAGATATCGTACATCTCCTCAGCTGTAATCTTATAAGGAAGATTCCTGATGTAGAGGATTCTGTTCACCTCAGGAGGTAATCGGATCTGCAGAGAGAAGAAAAAAAACGTAACAAATTACAGAGGATACAACAAAACTCAGAGAACCTGGGGTATCTCAGATTATTTCCAGTTTCTAAGACCTCTTTTAGAACCTCTGATCAGTGTAACTCCACCATGTTTTCTTAACACTCAACAAGTTTCAATTCAAAACCTGTTGCTAGTGTAAGATGGCTCTAAGTTGGCAGACTTCAGTATCAATGACTGGTTTAAAATTACTCTCACTCTAGGCATCTAGAAAAGAGGCAGGCGCTAATTATATTTATCCTGTGTTTGAGGCTTTCAAACAACAAAGTAATCATGTAGGAAAGGGAGTTGTCAATTACTACATAACTTTAGATATTTAACCATCACAAGAAATAAAATGACTTCTTTGGGGAGGGCTTCATTGGATACCAGAGGAACGAAGTACATCTGCTCTTTTTCAATTAACTTTTTTCTCACTTAGGTTTCATAACAGAAATAAAAATAATGTACTTTACTTCCAAAAAAATTCAACCAGCCCCTCTGGAAGGTGACCCAATTTAAAGGGCAACAAAATTCAAGCTGTGAAAATTCTTGTACAACAATGTTTCACAACAATCAAAATATAAAAAAAATCTACATGTTTGCAGGTTGCTGTGTTACAATCAGCTAGTTTATCAGTCAATAGTAGAAATTGTAAGATTAAGAGTGATGAGCTGATCTCACCATGAGCTGTGCAAGCCCAGAAAGTGCAATAATGAAAAAAATAAAAAATACAATCCAGATTTTACACAATAAAATATATAAACAGAACAAATGTGATTAATGGATTTGATTGTTAGATCACCCAACTCCATTTGGGAGGTTGTTGAAAATCTTGGTTGTAAAACGGGTGTACATTATAATATCAGGTGCTAATGACTTTAAAAATCCACTCTGATTAAAACAGAAGATAATACATATTTTCACGAATAAGAATTTAAACTATTTATAGTCAAAATATTATTATTGGTGTGGGTTGGTTTTCTATTGCAGTAGCGTAACGTATTTTTAAAATGTAAGGGGTTATAGTGACACTGTGAAGCATATCTGAAGTGTAGTATTTAATCTATTTTTTGTAAACAGTAATTCTCCAGTATACTCTTGTTTGAGTAATCATATCAATGAGCATCACTTTTAATCCACCCGTTTTTGCCACTAGAAATATGACCACCCTAAAATACACATTACAAATCCAAAGTCTTCGCACACAATCACGTTTATGAGGATGTCAACATGAACAAGAATAGCAGTTTTAGCTTGCTTTTCTTGTGTTGCTACGTAAACATTATGCTAATAATAACTCTCCCTGTTTGGGAGGACGTTGTGCCTCATAAACAAAAAAATTACCAGCATTCTATGATACTAAATAGTTAATACATAGTTTATTATCAAAGCACTGTACACAGAATATAAAAGAAATAACTTTATGAGTTACTTCAAAGCGTAAAGTGGTTATTCTAAGACGCACCAGATAGCCAGCTAACAGCTAGCCGCATGCTAACCCGAACATTATGTTGTATTTGAAATTAATTCGTCCAATATTTATCGTCATTTATATACGTTAACTTACGTTAGCGCGTTTGGCTGCCTGCATAGCCATGATGACGGTTTAGTTTGATTACAAAACGTGAAGAAACAACAAGCACGCAGTGGCCTTTTCCAATCGCCGTCAAAATGGAAACAGTCGCCAGCTAGTGACAAACTTCCGGTTTAGAATTTACAGGTTAATAATGGCAGTGCTGCCCCCTCGTGGTGCACAGACGAAAACACACATAACATAATTTATTTGAACAATCGAAAACTACAGTTAAATCATGTTTTTGCTTAGCACACCTTTCGATAAGAAAAATTATAATGACATAAAAATACGCAGATCATTTGTTTGTTGTGAATATTACATATTCTTTATAGAAAGCGTCTAAATTGTAAAACATTCAAAGTGTTTTAGGGATGTATATCATCATTACAGTGTTTCAGTATTTTATAAAGTCTGATCACACCACCAGGTTTATCTGCACAGCAAAACAGCCTCAAACAAAACAACTCAGTGTTTGAAGACAAATGGCTCATGTGTTAGATTGATCATGAATTATTATTTAATATAACACAAACAAATAAAAATAAATAGCAAAATAACACTTTTAAGATAATATTTAATAAAAACATCATTTCTGTCATATCTTTTTATTTACTTATGTTTAAGTAAAGTAATATTTTTTTTTATCTCAATTGCAAGTTTAAAGCCTTTGTTTCTTTTTTTTTTCTAAGTAAATAATCTCTGATATGTCCCAAAAAATCCACTGGATCACAATTTCTTGAAAAGCTGTTTAGCTGGGAATTTATTTCTGCAAAGGTCTACCAGGAACTGCTCTTAAGTGGCTTATGTTTGTCAAAATGGGCTTTAAATTGGGAAAAAAAAGTAGAAAAAGCTCATGATTACGTCATATTTTTATTCCATCAATTGTTAAAAAAGTTATATTATCACACATACAATATTTACCAAATTAAAAGTCTAATATGATCTTCTAATATCAAATATTACTTGTAAAACTAATTATTGTATTGTTTGATTAAATTAAGCTAATCAGAAATCATAAAAAAAGAATTATTGCATCCTATATATATATATTAGTTTATTTATTTAGAAAATATATATCTATTATATTTGTTTCCAAAGGTATTCAATTTATATTTAGTTTTTAAAAAATCTACTCTTGTGGCAGAGATACTCTTGTATTTTTTTAATAAATATATTTAAAAATAATAAAATAAAAAAG